ATGCTGCACAGCTGTAGCCATCTCCAGGGGTCCCTTTCGACTGGTACAGCCATTTATCCTTGAAGAATGCACACTTCAGCTGTAATCAGCTTCCACGCTTTTAAGACAGTCCTGCGTTATTCTCACATCAAACCCAAGCCTGAAGCAAATTACAAACATCTGTGAAACAGTAGTCAAAAGGGTTTGGAAAAAATCAGCAAGCTAAGACAGAAACAGGCACGAGTGCCTTTCAAGCCTGAAAAGAAAACCCAAATTGTATCTTGCTGGTGATTGAAAGCATTACATCTTTCATCCAAATGCTGCCATAATTTTGCAAAATTAGCAAACTGGCAAATGAGCTTCCCGTCACCAGAGTCAGCCAGCACTGCACAGCTTCTGTTTCTCTCTGTTGATAAAAACGCTTCCTCCTGCACTGATTTTAGGTTCACGATAAACTACTCTTTGTGGAACACATTGCATTTCCCTGGATTAGCTTTCAGATTGGCACCCTTAAGCTTATCACAAACCATTTGTAAATGAATCAGTTCTTCAATAGCATTAGTATGCATCAAGCTAACTTCTCCATTAGCATTTCTGGGAGGAAGCACTGCCTGCCATGAAGGCCATTATCCTCAACAGCTGTACTTCTATACTGATGTGAATTCTCCCTTTCCAGATCATCCTGCCTTCTTGGCAATCAAAGTAATGTGGCTGCTATTGTGCCAACATCTGGTGGCAACACAATGTGTTCATTGCAAATTAATTGCCTTTTTCCTAATCTTGACAAATTTTTAAGATAATTTTCTCAAATCAAACTTGTACACATTTTTTACTGCCTTTTTCTCCGTTACACATAATGATTATCATCATGTTTGATCCATCATAGAAACAGTGCAATGGTGAGTTAATAAAAGGCTAATTTTCAGAGGCAATCTTCCCTGTTTGTCAGCAAGCGTGTATGTTCACTGTCACTATCTCTTTTTGAAAGATAATTCAGGATAAGCTGTTCTCTAGTTAAGAGATTTCTTGAACATCTGAGCTATCAGTTTAAGTTCAGTAAGTGTTCACTCACACATTTCACAGATCCTGATGCACAGAGTAGCCAATTTTTCATTATTAGTTGCCCAAACCTGAAGAAAACCTACAAGTCTGTTTCTTGTTCTGTCAATCTTTGTCCTTCAGCTGCTTCAGAGTCTTTCCCTCTTCTACTTTCAAAACAAATGAGAAAATCTTATTGCTTATTTCTTCACACTTACCTGATCTGCTTCCTTTAAGTACTGCATCATTATTAATTTTTCTTGGTTTGTACACCTGTGTCACTTCTTCTAATCATGCAAAAAGGGGACAGAGAAGACTTGAATCCCCTTTTGGGGACTGTTGGATGCGTTCCTAGAATTGCAAGGCTTATTGTGACTGCATCTTTCCTAGTAATGCTCTCTCTAGTGACTTATTGAGGAACTTGAATGACGGCTGGTAATTTTACAGCTTTGTAGCTACGAATGCCATGAATGCGTTATCAGTAATCTTGATCTAGAAGCCCAACTCCAGATGAGAATTTATAATTTAGCCTATTGCCCATGTTTCTTAGAAGCTTTTTATGGTATCTGAATAACACCTTACAGATCCTTCGCAAAATCAGTGGGCTTTCTCTCCTTTTCTTCCTCTCCTGGCTAGTAGCTACATATCTAGCTCAATCCAGCCATTTCCAAACAGCCTCTTTGTATTAGCTATAGATACCTGTGGGTTTGTGCCCACAGAAGCAAGTACTGCTTAGTAAGTACCATACTATCAAAGCCTATCAAGCCTTTCCAACAGTTCGGACTCTAGCATTTTTTCCACCAGGAGGAGTTCTGAAGTTGTTTGCATTACAAGTCACTGATGATACAAGCATAACATTTCTTTTAAGCAATTTCATTTACTTACAATAAAATGCATATGCTGTTATCTCTGAACTCAGAAAGGTCAGTCCCCTCCTGCTCTGGGCCTTTTTGTGTGCCCTGTATGCCAAGAAATCTTCCAAGTTGCTTCAGAAGCTGCAGCACTAGCACTTCTCTCATCTTCTCCTGAAGATGATGCACTGAAGCATCTCTACCAAAAAGACTTCCAGCAGCAGAACCAGTCCAGACAGGTAACTCAGCTTCAGCCAGCCTCTCACAGCCTTGTTTCAGATGTCTTTAAGAAAAAAAGGCATAGTTGCTTTTGCCATTTCTCCCAAATAGGGAAGCTGCTATGGTCACTGCTTACAATGAAGATTTCCTCAACCTGTAGATAATACAATTAGTCATTCTTCTCCCAGATTAGCCACACTGGTTTTCTTCTTGGAAATTGAGTATCAGATGCTGTTAGCTTCAAGATAACTGGATACTACGTATATCGTATGATCTGAAAACAAAAGGATTGATTAGCATGGTAACTTCCTGAGCTGCCCCATAGAATAGCAGAGCAAACAATACAAGGACAAAAGCCTCCTTGGTCACAGCAGTCGTGGGAATGCATCCTATTTCCAGAGCTTGTGACATGAACCTTCAGCTGTAATGCTGTTCAAGGAGCACTTCAGTAGCAAACAGAACTATTGTAAGACTTGAGAATTAGGCAGTCCATTGAACCGTGTACTTCATGTCAAATTCTTCAGATTTCAAGAGATGGTACCATTCATTCCACATAACCCTGGAATAAATTCTGTACAGGTAGCACAGCAGAGGCAGATTCCTCAAAAAGTGTCTTGCTAGACATACTATAGGCTGCAACTCACTGCCTGGACACAAACCGAACCTTTGGGAAACTGACCAAACATCCAATTTTCATATCTGAACAGGAGCTTGCTGCTATTCCCTACCTTCAGATCTCTATGCCAGCTATAGTATAAACACATTCCTGTTAAAAAAGGAACATAAGCAGTCTTTTTTTCTGCCACATTCCTCTCTGAAGATTAACACCTTCAACCTAGCTACATTAGGACAACAGATACAGAAAAAAAAAAAAACAGATTAGTGAGCATTTTCATTCAGAGACTTCACGTTCAGCACTTCAAGAAAAACATCCTTCATTTCTTTGTAAGCGAAGCTCACAGAAACGATTTGATCTCAGATGACCAGGACCTAGAGACCAGCTACCTGAGTAGCTTGTGACAATCCACATCCTGAAGTGGATGATGTAAGGCTGCATTATCCGCATGGAGAGAGCTATTCCTATAAGAGGACCAGTCTGCAGTAGATGGTAATTTTTAGTGGAAGTTTCACACACTATTACTAGAATGAGGGAGAACTTACATTAGCATTCTAGACAAAGCAAAGTACAGGCATTTATAGTCTCTCAACAAAATGCAGATATCCACAGTTCCTGAATTGTCATGCTACACTGGCTGTCCACTTAGGACAAGCTCCGTTTCAGCAAGCAGTCATATTTGACCCCTGCAAAGGTGTCTTTAACCCAGCTGGAACTTAGCAGGGTCATCATTAGAGGCGTGAGAGGCTTCCCCTTGCAGCCCAGGGCCAGCTCTGCGCCCTGCTAGCCTAGTCCCTGCTCTAAGCCCAGCCATTGCAACCTGAGATGGAGTAGTTTGAGAGACTGTACACAGATCTCACGCTCCATGAGCTTTGCCTATGACAGCACACCTCATCTTGGAGCTTACTACAACAGTGTCAGAAAAGTGGGTTTGTGCTAGGAGAGCTGGAGCATGGGGAACCCTCAGCTATGTACAAGTACCATTTTTTGAATCATTCCCAGACTGGTAGCATAGAAGGGGTGGAATATCATGGATTTGGCCCAACTTCCCGTGAAACTGGCAAGGAGTGGCTGCAGATTCTGTAGGTAGAGAAGGATCCAGAGAAAGCATTATCACACTGCCAAGGCTGCAATTGCATAACTCGTTGCTAACTTCATATACTCACTAAAAATGAATATATTTTTCTATGTATTGAGGTTCCAAAGAATTTTTTAAAAAATAACTTTTAAAAATATTAACATCATATTAGCACATAAGCATACAGAATCTGTTCTGCCAAATTGAAGCTAGTCCAAGACAGAAGGAAAATAAAAATTATGCATGTTTACATGAATAGAGCAACCCTCCCTCCAACCCAGTTTTTCTGGTACTTCTTCATATGCAGACCCAAAAATCCATGCAGCAGCGTATCACAAATGCAACATACACTGACTAGCACTTTGAGAAGATTACCAACTGTTTGTAGTAAAATAAATACAATTTGGCAGTAAAGACTCTATCACAGCTTTGTCATAATTTTTTTCCACATAAATATCTAGATTCTGTTTTAAATTTTAGAAAGAATACATTAAATGCTTCAATTCTTCCTGCAGCAGAGAGTCTCATGTTTCACTGATGCAGATCCCATAACATCAAAAATAATTATCAAATATTAAACTCCATTATTAGGTCCATTGGTTTTTTGTTTGCAGTTGTATATTTATTACAAACAAAACCCTGAGGAATCTGTTGAGTCATTAGAAATACATCACCGAAATCCATACATTACATAATTCATCCCTCCTATTCAACAAGCATGCAACGCAATATTTATACCACAGATGTTTTCAAATGTAGTTTTATTCCAGTGACCTATTTGCAAGTCTTTACATACATTTCAAAACAACATTATGCAAACATATCACAGGACAGTACTTAAAGAATCTTTAGTATATACTCCTTTATAAAAGGGTTTGACACAATTGAAAAGTCAGTCCAAAAACATTACCAGGCTTCGTGATAAACAAAATACCATGAAGCCCTGTAACCTGCATGAGCGCAAGTATCCATCACAATGGATCCCTCTTCTAAATCCCTCTTTTAAATAAACAGGTTTAAATTTTGTTCAACAGACGAGTTTCTATCACGACACTGCCCATTTAATTTTGTGCTTTCCAAAAGGCAAGCATACTATAGAAATAAAATTCCCTCCCCAACAGGAGAGAGAAATTCAGTAAACATGTATTTGTTTCCCATTCCAGCAGAGGAATCCAAGTTCATTGAAATTCTTGTTATGGCTAAATCCAGCACAACCTGCTTATAACTTCTTCTTCTTCGTCTGTTCCCCAGAGTCTAGTTTACGTTTCTTAGCGGAAGCTGGTTCATCATCTTTTTCACCATCTTTAAATAAAAGACAGAATTAATAAAAGTCAACAAAATCAGGGTTTTTTTCTTCTTAAACACCATCCTTGTCTCAGAACAACTGACTTAACCACGTCTGAGATGCTTGGAAAAAAGACACAGTAGTGTTAACTGACAACATCCTCATTTTTGGAATGCAGACAATATGTGTACAGAATAGGAATTATTCCTGCTATTACTAACATAGACCATTGAGGATAACTAAGAAGAGTCTTTGTTATGGTACTGTACAGTACCTGTTCTGAAAAACTTATTATTTGAATATATAAGACAAAAAGCTAGAAAATCACATTTTGGAAGCAGGAAGTAATGTCAAGGTCAATTAACAGTTTATCTTCTTAGTCCTTGGATGAAGGCTAAAAGAAATGTGTAGGGGGAAAAAAAAAAGCACACAGAACAAATGGAGCAAGACAGAGACAGAAAAAACGTCACTGGGGAAGAAACATCCATAACAAAAAAAGGAGCAAGACAGCAAAAAACCCTTCCTTTTGAAAAGATTTGGTGACAACTTTACTAGTGAACCAAAACATTATCGTGTGTTCTGAAAGCCCTGAATTTCTTCTTCTGGTTTTGTTCTCTTGGTTGTTACTGGCTACTCTCTTTCTCCAGCAATTTTTAAAGAAAACAATTCCTCCCTCCTGTCAAATATTTCTTTATTTCCTAGACTACCATTACACCTTTTACCATGATTAAAAGTGAACAGGATAGTAAATATTTTCTTCAGTTATCTGTCACATGGACACTTTATTTAATTCCCCTCTTGGGCCCCAAGTTTTGTGAACATTATAAAAATAATGTGACCTACATCTACACCGAGGGTCAAGACAGCAGCGCTTAAAGAAGCTCTCATACTACTTTCTGTTTTAGCAGCACCCTGTTAGTTTCGTATGACTACAGTTCTACAGACTCTTTAATCATTCCCTGCTTCCGCTAATAACAATGGAAGGGGAGCAGAGAGACTGCTGGAGAGTCTATGTGAATTCTAGTAAAACCAGAACACAGGCACTGAAGTCTAACAACCATTTCTGCAGCCAACTACCACTCTGCCCTTAAGCAGCAGTGGATGCAGAAGGGGCCAGCAGAACGGCAGGGAGGGCCTCAGCCACAGACTGCTCACAGAATCCACCCACCCACCCAATTCGGCTCTTCATGCACACAAATTTGAAACACACACGCCTGCGCAAAGCCCAGCTGTTTTCGCCAGGACCTCCCCCGACTCTAGGGGTTCCTGCTCCTCATCCGGCAGAAACCTGGCTTTGCTGGCCTGCCGGGGCGCATCGTCGCCATTGTCCTCGTAGATGTTGGACCACTTTATGGCCATGTCGAGGGCAGGGGTCGGCGGGGGTTTCTTCTCAGGCGGGCTGTAGGTCTCCGGCGGGGGCACGGCGTTGCTCTTCCACACCTTGAACTCCTT